TCTTCTTCTGTGTAATCTTGCCACCTCTTCTTAATCTCTTCAGCCTCAGTTAGGTCCCTGCCATTTTGGTCCTTTATCATGCCTATCTTTGCATCAATCATTCCCCTTCATAGCTCCAATTTTCTTGAAGAGATCTCTGGTCCTCCCTCTTCTATTGTTTTCTTCTATGTCTTTGCACTGTTCATTTAAGAAGGCATCCTTATCTCTTCTAGCTATTCTCTGGAATTCTGCATTCAATTGTGTGTATCTTTTTCTTTCTCCCTTGCCTTTCACTTGCCTTCTTTCCTCAGCTGTTTGTAAAGCTTCCTCAGACAGCCATTTTGCTTTCTTGCATTTCTTTTTCTTTGGGATGGCTTTAGTTGCTACCTCTTGTACAGTGTTGTGAACCTCCGTCCATGGTTCTTCAGGCACTCTGTCTATCAGATCTAATTCTTTAAATCTGTTTGTCACCTCTGCTGTATATTCATCAGGGATATGATTTAGGTCATACCTGCGTGGCCTAATGCTTTTCCCTGCTTTCTTCAATTTAAGCCTAAATTTTGCAACTAGAATCTCATGATCTGAGCCACAGTCAGCTCCTGGTCTAGTTTTTACTGACTGTATAGAGCTTCTCCATTTTTGGCTGCAGAGCACATAGTCAATCTGATTTCTGTGTTGACTGTCTCATGATGTCCATGTGTAGAGTCATCTCTTGTTGTTGGAAGAGAGTGTTTGCTATGACCACTGTGTTCTCTTGACAAAATTCTGCCAGCCTTTGCCCTGATTCATTTTGTACTCCAATGCCAAACTTTGTCATGAGGCCGGAACATTCTTCCTAATTACTCACAGGAATAGGCAATAAAGGTTGAAAGCCTTTTATTCCAAACAACTTCAAAGATACGCAGGCAATGAATAATACAGGAGCTGCTAATGTCAGTTCTAAGCAACACAGTTGCCCCCTCCTTTCTGACCTATCTCAGATTTACGATGTACTTTTCACCCAACGGGAACGCCCTTCCCCACGGGGGCTAGATAAACTCCTCTCCCTTCTTCTTTGCTGGTAGTTTACATAGCAACGGAGGTTTTGCTCAAGGGTTGCGTTCAAACGCTCCATTTGGCCATCTGTTTGTGGGTGATGCCCTGAAGAGAGGCACAACTTGACCTTGAGCAAAGTGAGGAGTTCCCTCCAGAACCGGGAAGTGAACTGAGTGCCCCTGTCAGAAATTAATGCAAGGGGCCACCCATGTAGCCTATAAATATGAGCTACAAAGAGAGAGGCTGTGGTCTTGGCTGAGGGGAGTCCTGTACAGGAATAAAGTGAACCATTTTGGTGAATAAGTCTGTGATGACCAACATGGTGGTAAAGCCTCTAGACGGGGGCAAATCTGTGATAAAATCCGGAGAAACAGTGTGCCAGGGGCCAGGAGGGGTCCGCAGAGGTTGTAGCAACCCTGAGGGCCTGCTGGGCTGAGGTTTGGCCCGTTGACAAGTGGGGCATGAGAGAACATAAGCCTTGACATTGTAGTGTATGCAAGGCCACCAAAAGTCCCTGGTCACCATATGCAAAGTCTTATAAACCCCGAAATGGCCCGTAGAGGGGGAATTGTGACATTGTTGCCACATTCGTTCTCTAAGTGGCAATGGAATGTACGCAGTGTGGTTATATACCAATAAACCATTCTCGAAATTGTAAACGGAAGGTAGAGTACCTGCCTCCCTTTCCTTCCACTTGGCCTGGACAAAGGGGTTGGCCTATTGGGCCCGGAGAAGGTCTTCCTGCCAAGTGGTCAAAGTGGTGACTGACGCAAGCATTTCAGGCCGTAAGATAGGGGCGGGTTCAGGGTGTGCTTCATTGCCCTCAAAGTACTCAGGTTTCCTGGACAGTGCATCTGCTAGGAGATTCTTTGATGGTGGAATATCCTCTATGTGGAAACGAAAATGTGTGAAGAACAACGCCCAACGTGTTTGTCTTTGGTTGAGGATCTTAGCTGAGGCAAAATGGACCAAGTTCTTATGGTCAGTTTGAATGAGCATCGGGCGAGAGGCCCCTTCCAACAAATGTCTCCATTCCTCCAGGGCCACTTTCATCACCAAGAATTCCTTCTCCCAGATAGTGTAGTTCTGTTCTAAACTTGTGAGTTTGCGAGAATAAAACGCCACAGGCCTGAGGTCACTGCTGGAACCTCCTCCTCATTGCAAAAGAACTGCCCCTATAGCTCTTTGCAGCACAAAAGGAACAGACGTATTGGGCTGGATTAGGTGGTTTCCTGAAGCAAAATGGCGTTTTAAGGTGGCAAAAGCCTCTGCAGCCTCAGGAGGCCAATTCAGTTGCCATCTCTTCTCTTTCAAAAGGTCAGTCAAATGAAAGCCATCAAATGAGAGTAGTAAGCTATAAACCGGCGATAAAAGTTAGCAAACCCCAAAAACTTTTGCAGCTCCCTCTTCATGCGAGGCGGTTGCCAAGATAGTAAAGCACACACTTTCTTGGGATCCATCTGTAATCAATTCCAAGAGATTCGATACCCGAGCTACATCAGGGAAGAAGTATGAAATTTGCATTTTTCCAGCTTAGCAGAGAGGTGATTCTCTCTCATGCGTTGGAGGACTGCCCACGTGTGGCGCACATGGGACTCTGGGTTGTTGGAGAAAATCAACAAATCATCCAAGTATGCAATCAAAAAGTCATCAAAAGTCATCCAAAAAGTGGTGAAAATCTTTGCTTATCAACCGCATAAATGCTGCGCCTGTGAGCCCAAAAGGCAAAACAGTGAATTCATATGTGCCAAAACGGGATGCAAATGCAGTCAAAGGTTCATATCCAGGGCAGATGCGAAGTAAATTGTAGGTGTTTCGGAGATCCAACGTAGTAAAAATGGCTGTGTGATCCAAACGTTCCAAAATCTCAAAGGCATGGAATGTGTATTGGGGACGGTAATTGAATTTAGATGGCGGAAATCGTTACAAACTCTAGGTTCGTCTGAATTTTTCTGGGGAACAATTAGGGGCGTGGCTGAAGTGGGCGACGAGGACAGACAAATGAAACCTTTTTTTAAATTGGTAGAAATGAATTCTTTGAGTACTTGCAGCTCCTTGGGGGACATGGGCCGCAGTTTGCCAACAGGGAGGGTGGCCCCCTGCTGTAAGTGGATTTTTATATCACAAGCGTGGTGGGGTGGTAGCTTGTCAGCCTCTTGAAGATTAAAGACACCCCAAAAGTCCTGATACTGAGGAGGCAAAGCGGTGCGGGATGTTGGGGGAAGGTTTGAAGGCAGCTGTGTGAAAGAGCCAAAGCAATGGAGGGTGCAAAACTCAGAGTTAAATTGTATTTGCCCCGAGTCCCACGCTATTTGAGGTTCATGCTTAACTTACCAGTCCATGCCTAGTACTAGGGGGTATTGCAAATCTTTTACTAACAAGAACACAGCCTGTTCGCGATGCTTACCAATCTGCAGGGTCAATGGGGAAGACTGGCGTGATGATGGGCCCCCCTGCAATGGCTGCCTCTGAATCAAATCCACTTGGAGGGGAGACAACAACAATGACATTGGAAAGGAGTGCCTTTCAGCAAAATTCTCATCCATAAATGAGGCAGTGGCACCACTATCAATCAAGGCTGTGGCCTGTATTTCAGGCAGAGGAGGTGTCTGCAAAGTGATGTCGATCAGCAATTATCAAGTTGAAGAAGACCCTCTGGGGTGGGGCACCACCGGGGTTCTGGCCTTGGTCCCAGCGTCGCGGACTGGAAGTTTCCCACCTGCTTATTCCATGGGCAGGAGCAAGCCAGGTGCTTTCCTTGTCCACAAGTAAAACACAGTCTAGTAGCTCTGCGGTAATCAATCTCCCCTCTTGGAATGTGGGGCCTGGCTGCCCCCAGCTGTATGGGCTCCGGTTCAGGCTGGGTTGTCGCCTTGGCAACATAGTAATCAGGTGAAGGCCGTTGAAGCCTAGCCACAGAAAAAATCTCTCTCCACATGGCAACGGGCCAGAGTGGTCTTCCCGACTTTCTTTTGCCCGCTCAGCAAGCCGCGTGTCAATCCAAATAGCCACAAGCACCAATTTTTGTAAGCTTTCCAGGGGGTGAGATCAGGCCAATACATCCAAAATTTCCCCCCTAATTCCCTCTCGATATTGTACGATCAAGTCTTCCTCATTCCATCCTAGGTCATTCATGAAAAGTTGAAATTGAGTTGTGTAATCAGCAGCTGAACCTGTTTAACTGAACCCGCAGGCATTTAACTTCACGGACAGCCATTTCCTTGCACGCCCCCATGCCTAGAAAGAGTCCCAAGGCATTCAAAAAAGCTGCTGCATCAATCAAAATGGGGTCTTGAGCCACCAGTCTCGCAGTTGCCCACCGAACAGCCACCCCTGAAAGCTGATTGATTAAGAAGCCTACCTTGGTCTTTTCATCAGTGAAGTCATTGTGGTGAAGTTAGAAACATAGAAACATAGAAAACAGAGCGAGTCAGAAGGGGCCTCCCGGGCCATCTAGTCTGACCTCCGGCACCAGCTGGCTCCGCTCACGACATGCCCACCATGTGGACGTCCAGCCTATCCTTGAACACCCACAACGATGGGGCCTCAATGACCTCTCGTGGAAGCCCATTCCACACCCTCGGGGTCCTGACTGTCAGGAAGTGCTTCCTGGCATCCAAACGAAACCTTGGCTCCCTGAGCTTTGCTCCGTTGGAGCGTGTTCTGCCTTCCTCTGCAGGGGAGAACAGGTCTCTACCCATCTCCATGTGACATGTATAAAGTTGCATGTATAGCTCACATTGTGCCCTGAAAGTTGTAAATCCTTCTCTCTTTCGATCATACTTGGGAGGCAGCTCTACTGGGCATCGTTTCAACTTTAGCTCGGAAGCCTGGTGGGGGAGCTGTTGCCGCTGTAGACACCGCTGCTTAGAGTGAAGCAACTTCAGCATGCAAACGATTAATCTCCTCATTTGCTGCAGCAGTTTCAGCCCTCAAAAAGACGTTCTCATCTTGTAAAGCTTTGATCTCCGGGGGGACAGCCTGAGCTGTGGAGTCCATCTCTGAGCTGCTCCAATAAAACCTTCACCTGGCTTGGCTGTGTGAGTTATGATGCTCTTGTGGACGGTGGAGTGTCGAGGAGGAAGGAGGGGGCAAGCTGTCATGAGGCCAGAGCACTCTTCCTAATTACTCACACAGGAACAGGCAATAAAGGTTTAAAGCTTTTTATTCTAAACTTCAAAGATACGCAGGCAATGAATAATACAGGAGCTGCTAATGTCAATTCTAAGCAATGCAGTTGCCCCCTCCTTTCTGACTTATCTCAGATTTATGACGCACTCTTCACCTGATAGGAAAGCCCCTCCCCACGGGGACTAGATAAACTCCTGTCCCTCCTTCTTTGACTTTGCCTCTCTTCTAGTTGACTGAAACGCCAAAGTCTTCTCCTCAGCTGGGCATTCTCATGGCAACGGGCTGTCCCATGGGCTGCTTCTTGAAGAATGCAGTTTTGCTCAGGCTGGAGAAAAACTTCATCAAAGTCAGGTGGCGGGGGGGGGTACGGGGGTGCATTTGTGCCATGGTCACCAAATAGAAATCTTCTTGCTCTAAAGCCTGACTCTCGCTGGGAGCTTCTTGTTCTCTTACGCATGCTAATGACTCCTCTAAGTCGTTAGGCACAACAAACTTGCCTGTTATTCCAGTTATCTTTTGGTTTGCTACTTTAGCATTCCAATCCCCCATGATGATAAGGACATCATTTCTGGGTGTTATTTCTAGAAGGTGTTGTAGGCCTTCATAGAACCGGTCAGCTTCAGCCTCTTCAGCACCAGTGGTTGGGGCATAGACTTGGACTATTGTGATGTTGAATAGTTTGCCTTGGATTCGAACTGAGATCATTCTGTCATTTTGGAGATTGTATCCCAGTACTGCTTTTCCTACTCTTCTATTGACTATGAAGGCTACTCCATTTCATCTGAGGGATTCTTGCCCGCAGTAGTATACCTGATGATCATCTGAATTAAATTCACCCATTCCTGTCCATTTTAGTTCCCTGATTCCTAAGATGTCGATGTTCAGTTTTGTCATCTCTTGTATGACCACGTCCAGCTTACCTAGATTCATGGATCTTACATTCAAGGTTCCTATGGGAGTATAGATCTTTACAGCATCGAACTCTCCTTTCACCATCAGATACATCTGCAGCTGAGTGTCCTTTCGGCTTTGACCCAGCCGCTTCATTCTTTCTGCCACTACTAGCCCTCTGCTCTTTCCCAGTAGTACATTGGACACCTTCCAACCTGAGGGGCTCATCTTCCAGCGTCATATCTTTTTGCTTTTTGGTACTGTCCATGGGGTTTTCATGGCAAGGGTATTGGAGTGGGGTGCCATTTCCTTCTCCAGTGAATCAGCTTTTTTCAGAGCTCTCTGCTATGACCTTTCTGTCTTGGGTGGCCCTACGCAGCTTAGCTCATAGCTTCTTTGAGCTACGCAAGCCCCTTCACCACGGCAAGACAGTGATGCATGAAGGGGAGTCATCTGATTAGGACATGAAAAATGATCTTGTAACAGTGATTTGAACCTGCTACTCAACAAAAGCTTTGTGGTTATTTGCAGGTGTAGTTCATTATGTATAATGCTTCCTCTTTTTGACTGTCATTTCACCTGCACACACATCTAATCTTTACACACAGGACCTCGCAACGCTGGTTGAACAACTGGCAAGGTTTTTGGGCATCTCTTACGACAAAGCACAGTTGGAATCCATGGCAGAACATTGCCACCAGCTCATTGACCAGTGCTGCAATGCAGAAGCCCTTCCTGTTGGCAGAGGTAAGTGCATGACACACATTGTAGCATTTTGCCAAAGGAGAAGAGATAGACTGTAAACCCCATGAGCCTTATGCACAATCCATATATGCATCACTTTGAGATATGGAGTCTGTGATGGAAATAATGAAAGAGTCACAGCTATATTTGCCATCAGTTGGTTGCCTTGAAAACAGAGCTCTAACCAACCTACACATTTGGGAGTTTGTGGCAGTCTGTCCAAGACAGGAACACAACTGCATTTTTATTTTATTTTATTTCCTTACTTACTTACTTACTTACAGCTTTTCTAACCCATCCACCACTAGCATCTCAGGAAGGTTTTCATGATCCCTGACATCAAAAGCACCAAAAGCATCAAACTTGTCATGATCATGGAAAGTATCTCTTCAGGAGAATTCCACGATTTGCTAGTTTTCTACTTTATCCCCTTATTTCTTGTGCATTTCTTTTAGCTTTTCTAAAAGTAACCTGGCTTTTCAAATAGCTGTCCAGGAAATATGGGGCTGATATTGTCATATATTGGGAACAGAAGAAAATCAGTAACTTGCAATCTATTAGTTTGGGCTGGAGACAGTTAACAGATTTTTCAAGATGCTGAAGATGGTATAACAGAGGACCAAATTAAACACAATCTGTCCCTGTCACGTAGAAAGAGTGGGGCAGGAGGGGAACAAAGTCTTCCTGCTACCAGAGGCTGGCTTCTCCACAGGCTCTCTCCCTTTGCACATCCTCTTAACCAGGTTCATTTGCAGCATTAGCGTGCTGGCTAGAAGAGTGCCTAGAGAGAGAGGTTGCAGGGACATAACCCATTGGTGGGAGGGTGGGTACATTTCCCCTTGCATGTGTATCCATTTTGCTTTTAAAATTGGACTCTGCATCCCCACTTTCTACGTAAATGAGGCAATTCCATATTTAAACTGAATTGCCACTGTTACGTCCAGTTTTGACACCATGGGATATGTCTCTACATACACTTCCAAAAGCTGTTTCTCAGAAATGATAGTGTGATTTATGTAATACTGGCACAGATAATAGTGCCTCTATCAGTCCCATCTTCTTCATCTGTTTCCAGCCTAAGGTGTCTGAAAGGCCAAATGGTTTGCTTCTCTTTATTTCTGCCCATTCACGGTGTTCTCTTTGCTTCATTTAGTGCTTGTGCCCATTTGACCATTCATGCTGGAATCATGCACCTCCAGCATAGACTTGTGCAGCCTAGACACTTCCTTCCATAGTATTTCATTAAACTTGTTCATATTTCTTCCATTTCAATTTGCTTTGCACCCTGGCATTTGAAAAAAAAATTATTTCTTTCCTTTTTTTTCCAAGATGGGGCCTGAATGTCAGTGTATCTTCCCCCCTGCTTTTTCAGTATTTAGTTCTGCATTTTAACATTTTGTAACTACTGTAATAATTTAATTATATTAGTTCAGAGCGGTGTTTAATTTATCATCAGTTACATTTTCCTTATTTTTTTGCTTTATATTCGTTTTAATTTTTTTCCTTTTAGCTTATTGATCTGATCCTTACTCAGAAGATAATCCTCAGTTGCTGTGAAAACAGGCCATTGGTTAGCTCATGTTCCATACATTTACTCCATGTCTCATCACACATCACAGTTTCATGAATCAAATGATGAATCCAGGTGGGTGTCTCTTTGACCAGCAGTCCATGACCTTGGTTCAAAATGGTTGTCAGCAAATTAGAACAATACCTAGCATGTATATAGTATAATGGACGCCTCCACTGTTTTGGTATATGGGGTGCAAGTCAGATTCAGAAGAGGAGATAGCACTTCTCTGATGCATACAAACATAGCTTTCCATTGTTTGAAGTGGTGTTGTTTTTAGCCTATCAAACTAAGAAGCAAATAATGGAGTTTAACCAGAAAATCAGGTGAGAATGCAGGTCTAATACCAGCTATAACCAGATCCATAAACCCTCCAGAGCTTTTGTCCCTTTGTGTCATGCATGGCGTAATACATTTCAAATATTCCAAAGCCTGGCAACTTTATTTCAGTTATAATTAGCCAGAGGCAAAGACCCTATGATGGGTGGGAGGAAGGAGGGGAGGGGAGGGGAGGGAGGAGCCAAGGAACTGTGATGCTTGGAAGATGAGGTCTGGAGTGAGGTAGAGCAGAGGCAGCACCTGCTGGGTTGGCTGAGGATGGCACTTGGCTGGTCATAAGAAGCTGTTCCTAATGCATCATGATCATAAAAGCACAGAATTTTAGATTTGGAAGAGATTAGGCACAATGCAATGCAAATTCTTGCTCAATGCAAATTCTTCAGCATCCTTGATGAATGGTTATCAAAGCTATGCCTAAATACCTCCAGTGAAAAAGAAGCCTCCATCCCCAAGACACTCTGTTTCACCACCAAGCAACTCTTTCTGCTCAGAAGTTTCCCCTAATGTTTAACCACAGCTGTTCCTTATAATTTTTACTAATTTGTTCTGGTCCTGCCCTTGGGAGCAACAGAGAAGAATTCTCCTCCATCTTCTGCATAATGGCCCATCAGATATTTGAAGGCCACTAATAGTCTCTTCATAATCTCCTTTCCAAGCAAAACATACAGTTCTTTCAACCATTTCTCACAGGAATTGGATGCCAGACCTGTTAGCTTTCTTCTTGGGATACACTCCAATTTGTCAATGACCCTCTTAAAATGTGATGCCCAGAACTGGACACCATACTCCAGTACAGAACAGAGTAAAATGATCACTTCTCATTAGGTGGACAATGGACTTCTGTTAATACAGCCTGAGATTGCATTAGGTTTTTTTAGCAATCACTTTTCACTGCTAGTTCATTTTCAGCTTGTGATCTATTAAGAGACCTATATCCTAATATTGTCAGGCCCATGTGAGAGATGTATCATGATAGCCTTTGTCAATTGCTTTGCTGAAATAAAGACAAATGTTTACAGTGTCCCCATGATCTACCAAACTAGTAACTCTATGAGAAATGGAAACAAGTTCAGTCTGGCATGAATTATTCCTGATAGACCCATCCTAGTAACTGATACATTCTTTTCAGGATGCCCACAGACAGACTGCTTAATATGTTGTTCTAGAATTTAGACTTGTATTGATGCCATGCTGTAGTTTCCCACTCTTTCCTCCTCTAGTGATGACACTTGCATGCTGTCTTCTAGCATTTTTCCTGTTCTCCAAAAATTCTCAGAGAATAAAGGCGGTGGATCTGAAATGTTTGCACACTATTTCAGTGCTCGGTGATCTAATTTTTGAGGCCCTAAAGACTTGAATTCATCCCCTTACCTAGAATCTGCTCCATTATTCTCGGATGAATCATAGTTTCCTGTGTAAAAGAAGGGAGAGGCAAAATAGTTCTCCCTTTTCTTTGCCCTTTGTTAACACTTCACCATCTTCCCCAAACAGCAGACCCATCCCTTCCTTGTTCTTGCTTGAAATATATCCAAAGAAAACCTTTTGGTTGCATGATCATCCCTTGTGAGCCTCGTCTCTTTCTGGGTTTTAACTTTCCTGATGTCATCTTTACAGGTTCAGGCGACTCTGTTGTACTCATTCTTTGTTGTAGGAGAAATTGAAGGAGAAACATACATGGTCTTTTAAAGTCTTGACTCATTAGAGTGCTCCCACTGCAAGCCTGTTTAGATGTTTCCTATTTTTCCATTTCATGGGATTCCTTTGCAACTGCGCCTTCAGTACTTCATTTTTCAGAACCTTCCATTGCTCGTGATCTCTTTTCTCCTTCAGAACTTCTAGCAAGAGATCCTACTCAGTATTCTCTAAGGTCTTTTTAACTTTTAACTAACTTTCCTAAAATCCATGGTACACATCTGACTCTGTACCACTTTCACATCCCTCCCAATCATAATTCCAGGATGGCATAATCACTTTCCCCCAAGGATTCTCACCACTTTGATTTCATTGAATAGTTTTTCCCTGTGGGTCAATATTAAATCCAGGATAGCGAATCCTGCTTCTTCCTTTTTTCTTCTTCTGAGAAATGAAACTGTCAGCAAGGCAAGACTGTATTGAATGTTTATTCTTAAGCATTATCCTTCCAGCAGATGCTAGGATAGTGGAATTTTGTTGCCTCTGTAAAGGTTTTGACTATAGCCCATCTCTGTGAAACTTTTGTTATCTGTTTTTGGAAAGCATCACCCATGTCTGCCAGTTGCCTAGACGGCCTATAGTAAATAGCCACAGCAATATCACATCTTCTACCTCTCCTATCCTTGCCTGGATGCTTTCAGCTGGGCTTCCATTTTCAGATTCATGGACTCTCATGCAGGTGTAGACCCTGATGGACATGGAGAGGCAGGGAGAATGGGAAAACCTTTCAAGCTAAGCAGAAAATACCCTGCCCTCTTTATTCTTTTTCACTTTTTCCTATGGCTTCTTCTGGAGTACTGTGTCCAGTGTTGGGCACCACAGTTTAAGAAAGACGCAGGCAAGCTGGAAGGGATCAAGTAGGGGCAGCAAGAATGATGCAGAGACTGGGAACAAAGTCTTATTTATTTATTTATTTATTTATTTATTTATTTATTTATTTAAAACTTTTCTATACCATCCCATCACAGAAGTCTTGGGGCAGTTCACAACAACAGAAGGAGAGAGTGAAAGAATGAGGCATGTTTAGCCTCAAGAAGAGAAGAGGGGATATATGATAGCGTTCTAAAATTAATTGAAAGGCTGTCACAACAAGGAAGGAGAGGACCTCTTCTCAATCATCCCAGAGTGCAAGATATTATGGAATAACAGGCTCAAGTTCCAGAAAGCCAGATTCTAACTAGATATCAGGAAATTTTCCTGACTGTTGCAGCAGTATGGCAATGGCACAAATGATGTAGGGAGGCTGTGGACTCTCCAACACTAGAGGCATTCAAGATGCCGCTGGATAGCCATCTGAGAGAAATGGTTTAACTGGAAGTCATGCACTGAGCAAGGGGTTGGCCTTGCTGGTCCCTTCCAGCTCCACTATGATTATGTGGTTTCCCCAAGAAGGAACCCACCCCAATCTCAATACAGTGGTACCTTGGCTCACAAACTTAATCCATTCCAGGACTCTGGTTGTGACCCAAACTAGTCTTGTGCCAAGTTAAATTTCCCCATAAGGTTCAGTGTAAGTAAGGTTAATCTATTCTGTAACTATTTTTTTAAAATCAGAAAAATGAAGCAAAGTGACAAAGAACAACAAAGATCGCGGCCATCTCCCCCTTCCCCCCCGAGCATGAGCGCGGCCATCTCCCCGCCCCCCCAGCACATCCATGATTGCATCCATCATCTGTACATGCGCCCATCATCCTGGCGTGCTGGGGGGCAGAGAGATGGGCACGATTGCAGGTTTGCTGGGTGGTGGGGAGAGGCGGGTGTGATCATGCTGGCGGGGGGGGGGGGGG